TCTGCCCCTCGCCCAACCCAAAGGCGTGCGGCTGTCCCTCACGCATCTCCCGCAAGCTTTCTCCATACCAGCTCGTGATGCTCGACCTTCTGGGTTGGCAGTACCTCAGGCGGATGCACGACACGATCCAGCAGGCCTGGCTCGGGCTTCCCTCGCACTCGGCAGACAGACTATACAGTTGGCAAGAGGCGTACTCGACCACACGGAGCTCGGCGGTGGACGTTGCGCTGATGTACACGGACCGGGGCGCGTGCCGTCGCGCGCGATCGCTCCTCCCTTCCCATCTTCGGCTCCCGTTGGTCGTCACCTTCACTGGCTCCGACGCTCCGACGCTCCGACGCTCCGATGCTCCGACGCTCTGACGCTCCGACGCTCGTCGACTTCGATTCCGATACGCGTCCACCGTTCCGCACGCCGGTGGACGGCCCTCAGCGAAGGCGGCGGTACAGCTCGTCACGCGTGGCACACACGCCAGCAGGCGCGCCCTGCCGCGAGGTTCTGGGGCGACGAAGCGGGTGGGTGGAGCGCCGCGAACTACAGGTCCGCATGCTCCATTTTCTCGCCCCGCGGTCACTGACACCGGGCGGTCTCTTTCTCTCTACAGCACTGCGATGCCGGCACGGCGTTCGAGCGTGTGTCGGGCACGGACACGGACGTCGACGTGAAGGCCGCCACCTTGACCGATCCCACTCTGGTACACCTCCAGCTCGGGGCGCCGGAGTGCGGCCTAAAGGAAACGCACCAAGACGATGGCGAACGCGCGTTGCAGCCGCGTGCCGTTCTGCTGCTCGCACGCGCGGAGCGGTGCCTGTCCCCGGTGCCGACACGGCCTGCCGGCCTGCGCGTCCAGAGGAGTGGGGAGTAGACTCGTCGGAGGAGGTTGTAGTCACGAGATAGCTCGGCGCCGTGTAGGCCGACGGTGGATATATGTATGCGGTGCTTTACAGTGCTACTGTGTAATGATATGGTGTCAAGTGTACGAACCTCCACGGATTCCCGAGGGTCCACCGTGAGCCATGTATGATCCTCGTTCGCGCCCACCCTCTACGTCTGAGCACGCGTCGGCCTTCAGAACAACAATTAAGACTAGTCTGCATTGAGGCTGAAGCACGTCCGAATGTCGTACTCCAGCGAGCACCGGGAAAACTTTCGCACACGTACTTATGGGTATGTGTATTCTATAGTGTACGACAAAACAGAACACGTATCCACACGAAACCACGACAACAATGCACACATCCAGCACTCTGGTGCGTCGCCGACCCAACTAGTCCGTACCCTTCACTTCCGCGACAAATATCTCTAACCGCTCCGTCCGCAGCCGCTTCGCCACACACCACACCCCTTCAGAGTCCTCCTGCTCCGCGTCTGCAGGGGTAGCAACGCCGGGTCTCCATATCCTTCGTCGTCACTCTCCTCCCCCAACGACTTGCGCTTCACCCCCTTGCGCGTCGATGACCTCCCGAGCGGTTTGTCGCCTTCGAGCGTTTTGTTCCCTCGCGTCGGCGTCGCCTCCTTCGTCGCGCGACGCTCGGGCTCCTCCACCTGCTCCCCCACAGGCCCCCCACCGACCTCACCCAAAGCCTCGGCAGCCCACGCACGCATGTCCTGCGACGGCCCCATGAGCTTCTCGCCCGCCTGCCGCGCTGGCTCCCCTCGCTCGCGGCGGAGCGTAGGCTCGACGGCGCGTGGCCGTCCCTGACCCCGTCGGCGGCGTCAGGGTCGCCGCGGGCTCGGGCGACGGCGGGTGCACGGCGAGGATGAGGCGCAGGCCGTCGAGGGACGTGCACGAGCCCGCCGCAGGGCGCGTCGACGCGGCCTGCCCGCCGTCCCGGGCAGTCTTCACAGGCCCATCAGCGGGGCCGCGGGCGGAGTGTGCGCGCGGGCTCCGCGCCGTTCGCGAGAGACGGGAAAGAGGGGAGGGTGCGGAGCGCGGCCGGGGCGCGCGCCTTCGACCTCCGCCAAGGTCGCGAGCCATGGGTGGTCCAGCGCGCTGGTGAGCGACATGCGCGCGCTCGGGGAGGACGCGAGGAGCGCGCGGATGGACCGCTCGGCTGTGTGTGTGTGTGGGGGCGTGTCAGCTCGTGTGGCCAGGAAGAGGGAGGAGACACGGACCCTGTTCGCTCACGTCGCACTCGTACAGAAGCGTCCGCTACACCCGGCGGGTCACGACGATGGTGCGGATGTCCACGTTCGGCGGGTCCGTGTCGAACGGGGTGCTCTGCGTGAGCCCGATCAGCACGCAGCCTTCGATTGCGTCGCCCGCACGGACGGACATGCCAAAGACGCTCACGCCGACGCTCCAGCTGTCGAGTCCCTGTCCAGAATGTTCTCCTGCTTCAGGTCGCGGTGAATGATCTATTGATCATGCACGTACTGCAGAAAATGGTCGGAGGGCGGTGAGATGGTGAGGAGAGAGGTGCTCACAGAGAGGGCGTCGCAGGTCTGGTACGTCTTCCGCTGCGTTTCGGCCCCGTTGTAACGACAGTGAGCGCATTTGCCAGTCGTCAGGCCTTCAGGCCTCAGGGCTGATCTGGAGGGCGTTGTCGGTGAGTGGTGCAGTGCGGCGCTGGGATCTCACATACTCGCGAACATCCCGCCCATCGAAAAGCCGGCGACCTTGACCGCGGCCCGCGCGGAGTAGACCCCGTCCTACTCGATCGAGTGCGCAATGCGTTCCGCCTGCAAGCAGCTGCGTCGGTCAGTTGGGCGGGCGTACAGAGGAGCGGGTGCGGACGCACTGATGGCCCGCGAGCCTTTGTCGGGCACGATGTCATTAAGGCGGGGCTTGCGTCCGAGCCGGTACGTGCGCTGCGCCTTGGAGAGGTCGTTTCGGTTGATGTGCGGGCTCGCGGCGTTGCCACAGGGTATGAGCACGCCGCGCACGTGGGTGGTCGGTCTGGGACGCATGCTGGGTCTCCGCCTGTGTTTCGAGGGGCGTGTCTCCTCCATTGTGGGTGGCCAGTACCTATCCCAGCGAGGAGCGAGCGCATAGAGCGGCAGGAGAGGCGTACACGAGCTGTCTGGCATCGATGACGTCACCGTGCACGACACGTCCGCGTGCGGCGTCAGGGAGAGTTCAAATACCCTCTTTACGGCGGGTCGATTGCAGCCGATCTCGAGTAGACGAGATATCCGGGGGAGAGGGGCCAGGCGTGCACCACAGTAGATTCTGGCTACGGTTGTGGGAACGCTGGATGGAGGTGGAGGCCGGACGGGTTCGAAGACGAGAGCACCGCGTGCGATCTAGCGCGCGTTGGTCTGCCGTCTACACTCCCTCCATCCCCGCGTGCACAAGTACACCCGCGCGCGTCCCCCTCTTCATGCGCCGCGTGGAGGCGCCTATCTGCACCACTCGCCCAGCGGACTCACAAATCCTTTGTCGTAGCAACTGCAACCGCCACCGTGCGGAGGAACGTAGCCTCGCCAGCAGCCGCGGCCCCGTTGCGAGCGAGCACGATTTGCGGATAGGCCGGTCGAAGCGAACACGGTTCCTCGGCCGGGGAACGTGGCTAATGCAAAGCCGGTGAGGTGAAGGTACGCCCGGGCGGGTATGTTCCTGTGTGAGTGAGCCAGGTCAATGGACGGAAAGTTTCGTCATGGTGATGGCGGGCACTCACAGGGCGTGAACGATGGGGATGATATTGCAGGAACGAACAGGAAAGAGCACGGTTGCGTCTCCACCCCGCGCGCGACATGATCTGACGCATGTCCGTGCGGCGCGAGCACCCTGACGGCTGCATGTACTGGTGTGTCATCCCCCGCGGAGGCAGCGTCGCCCACGTTGGCTGGGGAGGCTGGTGCTGCTTCAGGTGCTGCTCTACTCGGGCGACGGCTCCCGTCCGTGCTGGCGCGAGTGTGGGTTCGGTGGTGCGACGACATGTAGTAACCCGCGGACGGAGTCGGTGGGGCCGCGAACGACCCCGATTGGTTCCCGTATCCAAACCAGACCGGCGATCCCACAGGCGTAGACAGCGAGTGAGCATGGTCTGCGCGTGATTCGCGGATCGCGGCGACTGCGAGTGGCCCTGCGGACGAGTGATATTGTTCCGGGTGGGTCATCGGGGGCTGCATTACTACGTGCTTGCTGCTCAGCACGCCGAGGCTCTTGCGGCGTGGACGGCGTTGGACGAGGGCCTCGCGTCGCTCGACAACGCGCGCACGCGCCGGTTCGTCCTGCGTGTGTCGGGCCCGCGCGACGCAGACGAGGCGTGTCCCGCATGCGGCTGTGGCACCCCCTCGCGGATACGCGGCCGGCGGTTCTGGAACTCGTGGTGGGCAAGGAGCGGTGCGCGATGGGGACGGCTCTGCGGGGGGCGTTTCCGGAGGAGGAGCGATGCTGGGAGAGCGTCACGGAGCTCTCGCTCGCGCTGAAATTTGACGGGACGCACGAGCGGGCGCCGTGCGACGTCGTGGTGCATGGTCTTGGATCTTGCATGTTTGAGTGCGCTTGTGGTAGGAGACCCTGGCAGGCCTGCTCCCCGTTGTCGCACTGCCAACACTCAGGCTGAAGGTTTGCGGTGGTGCGCTTCGGCCATCAAGTCGGAGGGGTTCCCGAACGCCTGACGTGCCACGCCGCTGGTGACTGTCACGACCAGCTGAAGCAGGTCTACGCGAAAATCAACGTTGTCGTACCCTTGCCAGAAGACCGTCATAGAAAGGACAAGAAGCTGAGGGCCTGTGAGAAAGTCTCAGCACTGTGCGTATGCGTCGTCGTGAGCGCAGGGAGCATCCGTCGTAGGCACGAGTGAGACTGGAAGTGTGCTGGCACCGTCTGCGCTGAAGCTAGGCGCGCGTACCGTGCAGAAGCGAGCGAGCTGGGGCTGGGACAGAACGGGAGGCGTTCGATCGGGACGACGGTACGAGCGTTGTGCGTCTCGTTCTGCGAGAACGAATGGTCCATCTCGAGCGCGAGCATATGCTGCACATTCTCTGCTTGGACGTGATGTGAGCGTGGGATGTCGGTGTAGGGACGTTGGGCACCCACCTCGGACAGGGTCACATTCAACTAAGACCGGGTGTCCTGGCGCGTTTAGGGTCAGGTGAGGCCAAGGGACGGATGATTCGACGGCGACGGTGCCGTCTGGTGCTCCCCTGGGTGAACACGGCTGATCGCAGGACGTGGTCAGTGGGGAGGACAGACGTCGGGAGGGCACAGACGCGGTAGAAAAAAGGGGTCTGAACGGTGTGAGAGTCGGAGATGGGGGTCAAGTTGGCTGGGGGGAGGGCTGGGAGGATGAGAGGGTAGATGAGCACGTACGAGTGGTCGGCCGCAAAATCCGTGCCAGGTGGTAACGACAGGCATTGGGAGTAGCGGTGTGCGTCTGGTTGGTTTGCACACGCCCGCTAACGGGTTCGTGCACGATAATGCCTGGCGGGGGGGAGTGCGTCGAGGGCCGATGTCTTGCTGGGTGCCGCTGACTTTTGCGCGTTCGTTGGCAGAGTCGCACAGCTAAGTGCCGGAATTCACGGACGAGACAGCCGAAGAGGCATGGAGGAGCAGGGCAGCAATGGCCGATGGTCGACGGGGCGAGAGGCTGCAACGCTGTGGGTAACGGGCTGTGTCGACCGCGGTATGCCCTGGGACGCAACAAACTGTAGGTGAGTGTGTCGGGCGAGGTCTTGACGTGTCGAGATGGGCGGGTACGCCGTGGATGAGGCGTTGCGTCGACCGCGGTGCGCGGGCCCTGCTTCGAGTCCAAGGCTGGTCAGCAAGCGCCAAGCGCACGAAGGAGGCGTCACGGCAGGCGCTCGATTGCGTCATGCGCGCGAGGCCGCGTCGAGCGAGTTCGCGCCTTCTCTGCCCTCTCGACCGCCTCGCGCTCTCTCAGCAAGCGTCTGGGCGTCGAGAAGAACACCGAGTCCCGCCCTCTGCGTTCCGGCTCTCCGTGATCAAGCTCAAGGTCCGCCCGTCTTCCTTCGCGACCAACCATGCCTAACGTGAAGCCGACACTGGACACAGTAGCTGTACATCCGGCACAGTTCGTCTACCTCCAGAACAAGCCATCACCAATGCGCTCAACGAGGTCCACGCGAGACGCGTCTTGCACGGCGTCGGCCTGTGCACACGTGTCTTCGACCTCGCGGAGGTACCACAGGGCAAAGTGCGGCACGGAGATGCATCAGTAATTCGTCCTCTGTCTGATTTGTCAGAAAGTCGGACTTTTGGGCTGTCCGACATCTGACCCTCATCTGACACATCCGACCATCCGAATTTTTTGGTGCTCAGCACCCATTTGACCTGCACTGTAGCGTATACACCATCGAATTTCACACAATTAAGAGACTTTAACGATGATATATTGTGTTAATGCTACAGTGTACATCCTAGATACAGGCACAAGTGGTCCAATACATGCTCGTACGACAGAATCCATGCCATCGCCCACGCTCCCACTCCCGCTGTCGCCAGGCTGTGCATGGTGCCATGCGAGCGCGAGTGCGTGGAATGGCCGGGGCGGGATGTGCAAAACGTGAGGACGGGATGCAAGTCCACGTCACAGCGCTGGACCTCGGACACGGCAGTCCGAGTCCCGCCAGTCGCCGTCAAACCTGCTGTTGTTAAATCAGAGACGCACGCTCGACGCGCCCACACCAGTGTTGAACGACTCACGCTAGTGCAAAATGCCGATTTGGCCCACGGACGATGCCGAGGGTACGCGGGCAAGTGCACTGGGGCCCGTCACGTTGTTGGGCCAGGTGGATGGTGGAGGGAAGGGCACATCGATGAGGGCGTGGCACATAAGCCCCATCGCGACCGGCCCTGGGGGAGCGCGGGGCTCGATTTGGCGTGGGCTGTCGTCCTATTCGCGTTCGCAGTCCCTCGTGCAGCCGTGGTCGGAGGGCGGTTCAAGGTGTGGAGAAAGGGAGGAGAACATCGGGGCGCACATCCAGGAGTCACGCTTGTGTTAGCATCTCAAGCGACGAGGTGGGGTGTAGGCTGACCTGAGCTCCGTGTGTGCGCTGTGGACCATCGTGCCGCTCGAGTGCTGCAGGCTGTCGCTCTCCTGTCGGAACAGTGTCGCGCTCCAGGCAAGCGGCGGTGAGGCACCCACGGTGGCGGGGCACCACTGCGGCCATGTTTATGCTCGTGTCGGCACCAGAGAGGGAGGGGACGTTGGAGTTGGAGGAGTCTTCGACCGGCGCGGACGCGGGCTGGATCGCGGGTGGAGTGTGGGCGATGGAGATGGGGATCGGTGGGTGCGAGCCAGCGCGAGAGGCGCTCTGGGCGAGAGTTAGGCTGCAAGAGACAGGGTCCACGGTGGAGGATCGCTCTACGCGTCCGTCTATTCCTTGGTGGGCCCAAGTTGGTAGTAGATGATGTCCAAGGTCGGCGGGTGTGGGTTCCGCAAGTGGATAACGAGGGAGATGCCAGGGGCGAAGAAGGGAACAAAGGTTTATGTGAATAATACGCACAGACAGATGAGGTGGGTACGCACTTTGACAAGGTGTTCCGTCGCCATCGAGCGAGACGAGGAGTATGGCCGAGTTCGCGGACATGTATTGAGGTCACTTGAGACGGGGCGTGTTCGGTTGGAAGATAGTGAGAGGCGGGCGGGGGAGGGATCGGGGCATTATGCGCACCATTTGGCTTGGAGAGTGGACAGGCGAAGAGGCGGGCCCGGGGGAGGAAAGGTCAAGGGCGACGACAACGACGAAGAAGCAGTACTAGTGGTGCTGGCAGTGCCAGGCGCTGGAGTCCACGCGACGGCCCGCAGCGCGCGTTGGTTCCCACGGGTCCCCGAGGCGGAGCCGCACCTCCGGCTGCCAGCGCGTCGCCGACCTCCCACCTCGTCCTCTTCATCTTCGTAGCCCGTCCTCTTGACCTCGCCCATCTCACCCGCCCTTTTGCACTCGGTCTCACCCACCTCGCGCGCGTCATCCAAATAGGTCGCCACGATCCCCCCACCGCTAATCTGCATTTGCAAGCTTGAGTAGGAGAATGAGCTCCTCCCCTACGAGGTCGAGGAGCCCCGTCGCCAGCCCGAAGTCAAGAACACTCGAAAAAGGTTCCCATGTGAGTCCCTCCGCTTCCATTTCGACTGCACACTCGTACTCAACGCTTCGTGAATCGCTTCTCCCATCTCACGCGCGCTCGAACGTCTCGCCCCCGGGCCCTGACGCAAAGCGGTACGGGCACCACTACCCGCCCGGGCGCGACGGCGAAGTTGGGGACATTGCAAACGCACCCGTCGTCCTCTTGTCGCCTGCCACGTCTCCGGCCGGGTCTTTGCCGTTGACGGCGTGTGTGAGCACCTGCGCAGGCAACTTGCCAGGCTTGACTGACACCCAAACAGGTGCCCCGCGTAACGTTTGAACAGCGTCTCTCCCGGGCAGCGGGCTCCTGCCTGCGATGTTGACATCTAGTGGGACGTCCAGCCCGTTTTTTTCGGTGAGTGCTCATCCCGTCTCTCTCATCCATGACGTGAGTTTTCATCCGTTTATTTTTCCCCGTTACAGGACCGCGCTGGACTCGCCTCCATCCACCCTCACCTCCACCCTACCACCTCCATGATGCCTGCCCCATCGCCCCCGTGTCGCCGCCCACGTCTCCTGCGTCACCCGCCTCGCCGCCATGTTGCCGCCACGTCGCCCACGTTGCCTGTGCACCTATCTCGCTGGTGTCGTTCCCGCCTCCCCGTGTCACCTGTCTCGTCCGCGCTAACGTTGCGTGGAGCTCAGGCCTCTGATGCAATGTCCTGGCCCTCACGTCGACGGACCCTGCCACGGCCAACTTCCGCGTCGGCCTTGCATGGATCGTCGCTGCCGAGGCATGCAGGTTCACATTCCACTGCACCGTGGTGTGGCGATCGCGCTTCCCCTCGCCGCCCCCCTCATTGCCTTCGCGGCCGCCACGCGTATGGATGGTGATGCCGGACAGAGGTGGGCCCGGGAGCGGAGGTGGGGGTGTGGGCCTGGAGCCTCCCACAGGTGTGTGCACATGTGCATAAGTGGACGAGTGCGGTGCCGAAGATTCGGACGTACCTTGCATCGCCGAGGGAGCTCTACACGCCGCCATGCTCACCATCCATGTCCCAGGAAGGTGTACGGGACCTCGATTAGATAGTGTGACTATGTACTCGTATACAGGACTTGATATACGCATTTTTACGTCCCGCTCAGGAATGCCGTTTACACAAGTCAGATTGAGGTCAGAAGTCAGATTGAGGTCGGATTGAGGTCAGAATGTCAGACTACGAGGATACAGCAATGTCGGATGGCAAATTTTGCAAGGTCGGATGTCGGACAGTCGGACAGGTCAGAAAGGGGTCAGATTGGTCTGTACTGACATTTTCAGACCCAGTCCGACGGAGGAAGAATTACTGATGTGGATGTCTGTGGTACAAAGATCGGTGAGTCTGTCTCGCACTAGGTGGAGATACAACTACCAATTCTCTGCGTCTTCCGTCCCTCTGGATCCGAGGTCATTCTCGCCAAGGTCAAATCCTCGGACGAGGTTGGGGCCCGATGTACGTCTCTTCGGCCTCGTTCTCGCGCCCCGAAGCTCACTCGCGCCCAGTGACTGTCGGATTCTTTGGCGACATCTACGTCCCCCTTGTTTACCTGCCGGACCCCTGCGCCTTGTAAGTGCCCCCCTATCTAGCATGTCTTCCCCGACACCTATCTCCGTCCGCCCCCAGCGACCCAGAAGAGCGAGCACATTTCCGGCTTCCAGGATCGGAAGCAACTTGCTTGTCGCACGAACTCCTCGAGTTGCCCCTGACGGACCGGATGTGCATCAACGCCGGCGATGTCCTCCGGGTGCGCGTCGAGGCAGACGGGTTCCATGACGATGAGCTTGGTCCGCAGAAGACGCGTGAGGGCGTTGAACAAGCTCTGAGCGCCTTCCCTGCTTCCCCCTGTCGGTGAAGAATTGCTCATGTATGGTTCTGGTTCCAGTGCCCGATGTCAGAACAGTGACTTGGGCCTTGGAGGAACGCTGGCGTCGAAACAACGGACGGTGGCTGACACGTAATCAGACCGCACCATGTACTTGTTGTTTGCTCGTATCCTTCGATGACATGTTGTGGTCTCGTTCACGTCAACCATGGTCAGCATTGCTGACTCGAAAGAGGAAGCGGAGCTGGAGGATGAAATTTCGCGTCTGATTGCCATCACAAGCCATTCCGTTGAATAAATTCTCTGTTCTCGCCATACAGACATGCGCGAAAGAATGAAGCCCGGGACCAGTCGCCTCACGTCCTCAGGTAGTCCTGCGCACGAAACGCCATCACTTCAACCCGTGCACGACGAAAATCTACGGTGTGCGTGGTATATCCATGGAGGCGGCCGGCGAAGTGGCAGGGGCCGTGTCGGGCGCCATGGACGTTTCGTGTGGAGTGGCAACAGCATCCACCGTGGCGAGAGAATCCGCAGGGCTGTGAGGCGGGGTCAGCATCGGGAATCACAAAAGTGGCAAGGGTGGATACGAACTCGGTGTGTTTCTCCGATTGAGGGTCTCCAGTGGGAGTCCCGGGCGCGCCCGGTGGAGCGCACAGCGGGACCTTCGACGTGAGATCGAGACCCCCTTCCCCCTCTGTAGCCGTCGGTAACGGCGGTACGACCCCCTCATGTTGCCGTCAGTAACGGCGATACGAGTTCGTACGAGCTCCGGTCGTGTAGACCGTCGGTAACGGTCGTACGAGCTCCGGTCATGTACCCCGTCCCATACGGTCGTACGAGGTCCCTAGAAGCAGCATACATCGAAATTGCGGTAATGCATATGGCACGTAGCCACGGCCATTCCGAGCACATACCGACTTGTATTGCAGCCGTGCGCACCGGGGTTAGGGCACGGCAAAGGAAACAGTACCGGAGCTCGTACGAGCGTGTACCCCGTCTGGGACTGTCGTACGGGGTCCCCAAAGGCGGCACGCACCGGAATTGCGGTAATGGATGTAGTACGTAGCCACGGCCGTTCTGAGCACGGAATGTCTTGTTTTACGGCCATACGTGCGGTGGTTACCCCGCGGCGATGCAAACAGTACCGGAGCTCGTACGAGCCTGTACCCCGTCCGAGACGGTCGTACGAGGTCCCCAAAGGCGGCACGCACCGGAATTGCGGTAATGGATGTAGTACGTAGCCACGGCCGTTCTGAGCACATACCGACTTAGTTTACGGCCGTGTGGGCGGTGATTACTGCGCACCGCGGAAAACAGTACCGGAGCTCGTACGAGCCTGTACCCCGTCCGAGACGGTCGTACGAGGTCCCTCAGGCGACACACACCAGAATTGTGGTAATGGATGTAGTACGTAGCCACGGCCGTTCTGAGCACATACCGACTTGTATTGCGGCCGTGCGCGCCGTGGTTAGTGCACGGCAAAGGAAACAGTACCGGAGCTCGTACGAGCTTGTACCCCATCTGGGACGGTCGTACGAGGTCCCTCAGCCGGCACGCACCGGAAGTGCGGTAATCCACGGCAATCTCGGCAGTCGCCTCGGTATTGCAAAGGCATGGACAGGTGATGTTTCCCTAAGGGCTTCCGTGGTGGTGGTAATAAAACGCGACATATCAGGAGCTGTGTTAAAGTGATGATTAAGAGCAAAATCACACAAGTAGAGCTCTACAACCAGGAAAGCCTTGTTATTACCGGAGGTTGTGCGAGTGTGTCCCCTGCCCAAGACGGCCGTACGAGCCCTGTCAGCCGGAAAACATCGGAATTACTGTGGTGTGTGGAGTACATTGCCGCATATTTCGGTTGGTCCGTTGGGCTACGGAAAGTACTGCTGCCTGCTCGATCCCCTTTCATTATACTGTATTTTGAGGCTAACCCATAGCGATAAGACTAGTGTATGCCATGCTCCTGTGTCTTCTTCAAGTGCGGCTCCTTTCCGGGTCTTCCACAGGTTCAAGTGCGCACATGATTTTGAGTAATCATTGACACCGATAATGTCTTTGGTATTGCGTATCATACGATTGAAACATACCGTCAGACGTCAGGTTCTGTGTTCACATAGCTAGTCCACTACAAAATACGAAAGCATTATGTATACAAAGCACGAAAGCATATTGGAAACATTGCAGTACTCCACAAACCAAGAAAAAACCCACTGTCATTTAACCACCGTGTCATGAGTCCCCGCTGTGTTCACGCTCGGAAACGTGCTTCAACAAGCGTTTGAAGGCGGGAGGAGCAACTGAATCCCCAGGCTCGTCGATATTCATCCTCTCATCGGTGGGACCCATGATAGGATTCGCCAGCTGACGCGTGAAAGCTGGGGGTGAGGACAAGGGGGTTGAAGGGACGGCCAGCCCACGCACGAACACCGGTGGCATAGGTTCCACAGCACTGGACAGTGTGCGAGTGAACACTGGTGGTGCGGAGGTCGGTGTTGGAGGGCGGGCCAGTTGCCGGATGAATGCCGGTGGCGAAGCGTCGGCAGGTGCGAGCGTTCGCATGAATACCGGCTGTGACGACGTCGGTTTGGACTCGATGGCGAGCCCTCTTGTGAAAGCCGGTGGTGGGCCTGGGACGGTCAAGGATGCCAATGGCGACTCGAGTGTGCGGGTGAATACCGGCTGCGAGGAGGAAGGTGTCGACGGAATGGCAAGCCTTCGGCTGAATGCCGGTGGAGACGGTTCGGCAGTCACGGGCATGGTGAGCTTCCGAGTGAATTCCGACAGTGGAGAGTCGGGCCTGGAGGAGCGCGCCAGCGGTCGCGTAACTGTGGACAGGGGGGAGGACGACGAGACACCACCCATCAGGCTCTGCCCTCCGGGGGGGGTGAATGACTTTGATGGGGCGGTCGAGGAAGACGACACTGGTTTGAGTGTCCGCGTGAACACCGGCGGCGATGTGGAAAGAGTTGTTGAGGGACGCGCCAGTGTCCTGGAGAATACTGGCGCAGCGACCGAGGCGGATTCCGGTGGTACTGAACGGTCATCACTCCTGAGTGAAGTGTCCAGTTGGCCCAATCCACCGAAGAACCCAGGTATCATGCATGTGACCTCCTTTGGGGGCGTAAAGGGGTCTACTAACCCGCCATACAGGTCAGAAAGCCGCGTGCCGGTCGAGGAAGACAACGGTGGTTCGAGTGCCCGCGTGAACACCGGCGGCGATGTGGAAAGGACTGTCAAGGGAGGCACCAGTGTCCGGGAGAAGACTGCCGGTGGAGAGGGGCCAGTGGAGATGGCAGGGCGGATTGGGGGGAGTACCGGTGAAACCGAGTGACGATCGGTCTGGTCGGAAGTGGCCGGTACTAGAGCACGCCTAAAGACTGGGAGTGACGGAGGAGGCGCCATATCGGTCGCCAGTGTACCGGAGAAGATTGGCGGTGGGGAGGGGGATCCTGGGCCGGCGGAGCCTACCGAGTGCGATACCGGTGATGCCGAGCGGAGATCTTCTTCGTCGGAAGTAGCCGGTACCGACCCACTTCGTACTGTGTCCTGCAGCTCCCACAAACTCAGCTTGTGGTCCTCCAAGATGGCCGGATTCTGGATATAATATAATTGTTAGAGAGGCAGAAGCAACTTTACATTTATACTTACTTGGGGATGGTATTCGATGATGGCAAAAAAGATTTCAAGACGATGCCTTTGATCTGTTTCACCCGGGAGACCTGTCACCTCATCGAAAACGTTCCTCAGAAGGCCTACAGCGATGGCAAGCCCAGAGAAGATAGGAACGTGTTGATCCTGCCGCTCCTGCGGATGTTCACGTAGTATCCAGTTGGTGCGAGTCTGGCGCACCGACACTTCTACCGTGTGAGCGATCCGGATCGCTGTTCGCTTGGCGATGTCCAGTAAGCCATTTTGGTCGTGTAGGGGGAGGCAATAACCGATCTTAATGGTATCACTTGCCATGTCGATGAGTACGAATACCCATCCGCCGCCAATATACCACGGGAGGCAGATGATGCTGTCCGTGGCGAAGTCACCTCGATCTGCTAGTTTGCTGAAGCGGTCGACCAAGTCAACCGGTGCCAGTTGAGTCATGATGGCGGAGTAGAGATGGAAAGGGCGGGGAATTTTGTCGGTATTGTTGTTAACGACGGCTATGACCGCGTCCATCAACTCGTCGTTGAGGTCGCGGTCGTCGGTGGTCAAGTGGGAGAAGAGGTCGCACCATGGATGTAGCAGCGCCGGCAAGTCGAGCAATGGGGCAGTTTCTACTTCGAAAACGGCTGCCTCGGCCTCTTCTTGTCGTCCATATTCGTGGAGCCACTCCAATCCACGCGCAACGTTGGACCGAAGGGTATGGATGTTGCGCAAGCGTCGCCACAAGTCCAAGAGCCAGAACGGTAGCGGGGTGCCGCGATCGCCGGGATGGATTACCGAACGGAACGAGCTCGGTAATGCCAGAACACCATCGGCCTTTGGTATTTGGATGGCAGTGCCGGCGGAGTAGTGGTCGACGAAGAAGACCCAAGGCGGCAGGTCTTCCGCGGCGACGGGGGGGCCGTCGAGTATGAGATAGGGTTTCCGGAAGCCCAGGACCGTGGGGCCACTCCAGAGCAAAACCGCCTGCCGAGAAGCTGGCGTACAGTCGTGGCGTCCGATGGTATCAGCTGTTGGACTAGCCTCTTCGGCGCTATCTTTGTCTCCCAGTGTGCAAAAGAGACGTTGGCTATGTCCTCGTACTGTCTGGTAGTTTCATTATCTGCAACCGATGTCAGCAGTGTTGAAAGACGTGGCATTGCCGACACCTACCGTCGACTGGGGATGGAACTGCATAGGACAGGGGATGAGATTTGGGTTGTGGGACTATAGAGACACACGTTACCTAGGACTCGAAGGTTGTATTTCATTGTGTTTCTTGCGGTGGTGTGTGTTGAGACAGAGAGAGAGGTTGAAATCGCACAAGATGGGTGAGGAGGAGCAGATGATTTACGTTTGGTTGGAGTGGGGGCAGTGGACGAGCTCCGGGTGTGATCCCGATATGGATCGGAACAGTATTACGTCATCAACGGCATGTTGAAAAACGTGGCGCCTGTGTTCAACTCTCCCACTTACAACCACCGAGTTGACCATCCGCACACGCGCCTCTACCTTCCAATCACTGCTTCCCCTTTCTCCCTCGCTACCGAACATCTACCGATATGTCCGCCCAACCTTCCCAGAACGACATGCTGACTGTGCGCCGTGCCGTCACCCAGATCCACTACGCGCTCCGTCACCTTCCTGCTCAGGGCAACATCCAGAATGAGAAGATGACGCACTGGTACAACATGTTCTACGCCGCACTCAACAAGGCGTACGACTTCCAGGCGAAGTTCCATTCAACCACCTGGCCCCGCTACACCCTCGGTGCCTTCTACGAGTACGAAAAATCCCAGCACGTCGCCGGATACGCCGGGGCTCCATTCAAGATCGTACCCATTGCCGACACTGCGGCTGCCCAGGAAGCCGGGTACACTTTCGATTTGAAGATGGTCGGTGATGACCATGGCGAGATCGACCTCTTGCCCGAAGACGAGGTCGACCTCAGTTGGTGTGACATCGGTAAGCATCCTAATTTCTGTCCTCCCATTCACATTTTTCTGATCTCATGGTTGATTAGAGGCCACAGTGACGAACCCACCGTCGACGGGGGATGGTGCGGTATTGTTTTTCTGCAGTACCGGTCACACCGCTAATCATGTATCCTAGGTGCTAACAAGTCGGGCACCATAAAGTCTGGAGGCGGGAAGGGCACCGGTAGTGCTAAGAGTGCCCAAGCTTCCGAGAGCATCGGTAGTGCAAAGGGCGCCGAGGGTACCGAAGGGGCTGGTAGGTCGAAGACTGCCGAGCCGACGAAGAGTACCGGTATTCCGACGGCTTCCGAAAGCGCGAAAGCAGCTGGGAGTTCCAAGGCTGCCACAACTGAGAAGAGCAAGCGCAAGAAGTTTACACCGAGGATGTCACGGTCCGGCAAAAGTAAGTCCATGCGAAGATCATCCACAGCGGATCTAATGGTACCATTCAGAGCCTGCAGCACCTATAAAGCCTGCGTAAGTACCGGACTGTTCCGCGATCACACAGTGAACTACGCTAACATCGCCACCAGCCTTCATCAGACAACCAAAGACAAGAAGGGCAAGGGCCGGGCGAACGTAGAGGCGAATGCCGACGACAATGCCGTCGCCGGTGGAGAAGAAGACGATGACGAGAGCGAGGAGGAAACCCCTCTCGAAGGTATGTGTTCCATCGGTAATTACCGCCACTCCCATGTACTAACCTCCGCTCAGAGGTACGAAAAACACGTTCGACCGTCAAGAAGGCGGTGTCTTTCATCACCCCCACCACGCCACCGGTGTCGAAGACAAGGCGAGCCCCATCTGCGACCCCGGAGCCGCCCAAGAGGTCCACCGCCACGCCTAAGAAGAGGGCAAGGAGCCAG